GAGCAGGTAGATCATCTTGATATATTTGGTCAGCTCTACCCCAAATATGACCCCCCTTAATGTGTGTTCATGTAGAGCAGCTCGAGTTGGTGGTATAGACGTAAGTGGCCTATTTTCAGTTGCAAACAAGTGTTTCCTGGCCATAGTTATGTTATTAGTAGACTGAACATTATATAGGCGTACCACATATCTTCAAGTTCTTGAAGCACATTATGTTCTAACTTCTCGCGGGAGAAAGATATTGCATGGAATGCAGTTGTTGTATCTTCTGTCCAAGTTTTCCAAGCCGACCGTTTGCCCTTTGATGACAGAAAAGACACAGTGTCACATCCAGAGAAGGCATGAAAGCCGCGTAGGGCTTCCGATTTTCTGTCACCAAGAACTTCCACAATACAGTGAACAGGAATGTATCGCAAATTTTTTGAAGAGCTATAGAGCAACCAGAGGTTTTCTAGGCCTAGGCGTTTAAATTGAGGAAAAAAAAGATATAGCTAAAACCAAAATGTCAGTGTCAGCACAACGGATTAACACTGATTTGGCTCCGTTAATAATCATGTATTTAACGTGCATGATTATTCGTCCATCTGCTTCCTCCATCTGGACACAGGATACACCTTCTAAGTTAGTAAAACGGCCAGTTGATGACCTGCAGTTGTCGCCCACATTAGTTACTACATTATAGGAGTTACAATTCTCAATAATACTTTCCTGATTACTTACATACTTTTCAGACTTACACATAACCGTATCTTCTTGCTCATCTTTAACATTACGACTACTTCTTTTGTATAGATGTGCCAAACACTCTAGATGGTATTTGGCTTCTTGGGTTACCAAATCGCCTTCTACCAGTACGGCTAGAAGGCGCGTATCACCAAGAATTTTAGCAGAGTGCTCCACTTTTTTATAAATTGTCGCAGTAGCACACAAATGTAAAACATTTTTTTTATTACCTGTTTCAGTGCATATGAAACAAACATCTTTTTTACATTTACCAATGGTGTAGTTGATCTTGTTGCTCGAGCAGAATTATTTTCCCCCCTTTGTTGCGAAATAGATGCCTGAGATTGTTCTTGAGATTTACAGCAACATGCTGCCTCATTAGATTTAGATAATGAAGAGAGGAGTATGTCAAATTTTCGTGAAACGTATTTTAAGTTGCATGCTTTGTGCCACAGTGCTTTTTTTTTAGATTAATGTTTGCTCAATTTCTCTTTTCCCTTTAAGACAATTAATTTGCGTTCCAGAGGGAAGTACGTGATTGTAATTAGTTAAAAGTAGTAAATTAGGAGCTAAAGTACCATATCCTTTACTTCGAAGTGAAACAACTGGATTATGTGCAGGACAAACAGTTTTTCCACCACCAATCTGACAGATACAACATTTTTTCCAATCTATTAAGCTATCTAGGGGATGAGGTACTGCCACCGTTATTTTATTTTTATATTTTTTCATTTTTTTTTTCATGCTACAAAGAAGCAAATATTACATTAAAAACAAAAAAATAAAACCGAAGCCATACAATAATTAGTGTAGATACCTATTGTAATGAAAAATCTAATACTCACCGGCAAACGGTTTAATGATTAATATTTTGTTCCTTGCTCAACATAAATTATTATAATATATTAATTTATATTGCTTCTTTTGTTTATTCCACTATAAACAGTCAGTGGCGTCACTTAAAGCAGGTTAAAAATTATTAAAAGTATAAAAATTACGATATTGCGTTTATTTCTAGGGTAGGGATGATAAACATATCAGTTTAATTTTGTTTATTGATAATAATAATATTAATAACAATAATTAATAATTGAGTTATCAGTTTTTAGTTAAATATTATAAAAATATGTAACCAAATATTATACAATTGGCGTTGGCATTAAAATTTTGAATATTTTCAACCTTTTTTGTAAAAAAGGGGTAAAACAATCATCATAAGGGGTGAAATTTGGGGTGCTGCGACTCAAATCATTTAATATGGTCTAAATAACAACTCTGGCGAGTTTCATGCTTTTAACCCAATTTGCTACGTTTTACCCTATATTGAGGGTCTGCCGCATAGACTATGAGTCTAGATGTCAGCGAAGCAGTACGGATATCTCCTCTTTCCTCTTACAAGAGGAAAAACTTTTGTATTACATATTGCCATTTTTAGAAAAATGTATTCTTGATGAAAATGTTTTTTGTTCTAAATTGGATATTTATATTTTTTTATGCTTTTCCAAATTTTCATACCATTTTAGATAAAATTAAAAAAAAACATGAATATATGGTTGATTTTTTTAAGATAAGATAATCCGGATACTATAGATCTATCTCCAGTTATTATTAATATTATTACAATTAATCAGCAAAATCCAAATTAACTTGTAAAATCGTCGTGTGTAAACACGTGTAATAGAGAATCGAGATAAAGATAAGTAAAAAAACTGGATGTGTTAAAAAATAGGATTGTAGATAAAAAAATAGTTTAAATATTTTAATAAAATTTAAATTCAGCGATACAGATCTTCGGTACATCTTAATTGATAAGTATGACAGTGCTTAATTTAATACGCTACTTCACAAAATTTTGAACTCATCCTCTCTCAAAAATAATATATTAAATACACTGCACTGAAGACATTGCAACAAAGTTTCGTCGTATTGCATCTCAGGTCCTTTAGTCTGTTAAGTTAATATTAATTGCTTATATCGCAGGGTCAAAAATAAACCTTATTAGATGCCTAAAGACGTAATAAAGATGTTACAAAATTACGTTAATTTATGGTTAACTTAGAAAGGAACTACAATATAACAATTAGGGTTTAGAACCGGGAACTCTCGTTATCGAAAATACCGGGAATTCCCGTTTTTTCAGACAAAGAACCGGGACGCGAAATTATTAATTCCCGGTCCTTTCGGTAATTTCGGTTTCACCGGAAAGGACTACAACTTTTGATTTTTAAATAGCACCTTCGGTATTTTTTTACTTTATTCAATAGAAAATGACACTCTGAAACGACTACATACTATATGTCAATTTTTGACATAGTCACTCAAAAACAAATTCTATTTTAAATTTCAATCTAGAGTGCCATGGCTGTGTTAAAAACACTAACTTTTAATCAAAGAGCCTTGGAAAAATAGATTTGATCGTCCAACGTTTTTAGTGTCTTGTCCTGGCCGGTTAAAAGATGCCCAAATCGTATTTTTAATCATATCTCATTTTTTCAAATGGAACGAGGGTGGCTCATTAGCATATTTGAAAAAAGCATTTTTTTACGAATAATTTGATACCACACACTTGGTATTTTGAGTCAAATTGTCGTTATGAACCGCATGTTACAATTTCAAATAAACCATATGCCAAAATGTCAAAAGTTGATATATGATATGTCATTCGATTCAGAGTGTCATTTTCTATCGAATAAAGGAAAAAAATAACGAGGGTGCCATTTAAAAATCAAAAGTTGTAGTCATTTCCGGTGAAACCGGAAGTGACCGAAAACAATAATTGAATACGTCAATCAATCCCAATTTATGTCATATACTAACATACGTAAATATCGTTGTTTTATCTGAAAAAATAAAAAGTTATAGGGGTGAGCCACTTTTGAGACGCACCCGGTATAGTATAATGTTGCTTAATAGTATTCATTATATTTTTTTATGTCATGTTTTTATAGGGATTTGCATTTTTAATTGAAATTGATTTTTTTTTCAAATTTAGTTAAGTTGGATTATGTTGTTTGATGTTACCTATGTTTTTTTTCTTCGCTTCTTTTCATGTTAATTTTCTCATGACTGCATACTTAATAATTTGATATGATTTTCACCTAAAATTGTTACCTACCTCACACTGTTTACACACAACGGTAAAAATGATTTTAAACTTTTGCCTAGGTTTTTTGAAACACACCCCATTTATACAGGGTCGCTAATATGTAAGGGAACGGTCGATTATTAGGTAAAATATAAGAGGTGCTGCAAAAAGTTCAATATAAAATTTATAGATTTTTAAATGCCTGTTAGCGAGTAATAAATTTAAGTATACGGGGTCGGTCATAAAGTCATTACACATCAAAGTTATTTTTTTTAAATGGAACCTCCTGTATATTATTGCTACATTTCAATTCTTCCTTCAATTCTAAGAGATACACACAATGTACCTTAACCCAACCGTTTCCGAGTTATTGACTTTTGAAAATATCACTTAAACAATTTGATTTAATTAATTTCGATGTGTTCGGTTTCATTTAACGATGCCATTCTGCGGAAACTGTAATACTTAATAATATTTGACATTTGTTTTCAAGTTAGCATTTATAGATCTATAAAGAAAGATTATATGAAGTCTGGAAATTACAAAATTTTCGTTTAACATTTTATAATAAAACTTCATAATTCGTAAATGGTTGAATTTAGGTACATTATGTGTATTATGATTATTCCTTAAAATTGAAGGAAGAATTGAAATATACAATAATATATAGGGGGTTGCATTTTAAAAAAAAAATATATGCCACAAATTTATGACCCACCCTGTGTGCTTAAATTTACTGCTAGCTACTAGACACTTAAAAACCCTATAACTTTTGTATTATTTAACTTTTTGCGGTATCTTTCATATTTTACCTAATAATCGACCGTTCCCATACATATCAGCGACCCTGTATATTATCCAATTTATTTCATTTGGCGGATATACACTTTATATTATATTCTCATCGAAAAACTTGAAGAAGAAGTGTTCGGTTGTAACATTATTATCCGCATCGGATTACGACAATATATATTTTTATATTAATTGTTTATTATTATTTTCTTTTTCAGTTTTATTATTTTAGACTATTTGCAGTTTTGTTTATTATATGTATAACTAATCTTAAGAGTAAGCATGTTTCTTAATGCATAAATGGCTAAATTTCAGTTTGGAATGAATCATCTAAATGATTTTATAGGATAAATTATTTTTGATTATATCGCTTTTTAACATTTTTAATTAAATAAAACAATTTTTAATATGCTTCATTTTATTATTTACATAAAACGAAATAAATGTACATAGTTAACATCATTAATTATTGGAGAGATTGTTAGTATTTTGTTGGATCCAGGCGATGTAAGCAGCTGTGTCGACATAAACGGATGGGAATCCAGCGTTTCCACATGGACTGTATCCCCAGGAAACAACACCGACCACACGAGAGTTGACGACCAATGGGCCACCGCTGTCACCACTGCAGACAGCTTCGATGCTTGAAGCTGAACGGGTTGTCGTGCACACGTTAAGGGCAGATCTGAAGGGGTTGATGATTCCAGAAAGTTGTGCAATTACATTAGCACATTCTGTCAATAAAATGTTAGTATTAACTTATATTAAGTTTTAATTGATATTTACTTACGAGCTTTAGCCAAGATTGGAACGTTAACAAACTGAAGGTTGTTTGGGGCAGAGTTGGTTGGGGGTCCAAGGGATCCCCATCCGGAAACAACGGCAGTACCGCTAGGAACGGCCCCAGCAACTGGAAGTGCAATGGGTTGTACGTTGACTCCGTAGGTAAGGAGTGAGGCCAGACGGATCACGGAGATATCGTTAGCAGCAACAACGTTGCCTCTACAAAAAAATGGTTTAAGTTACTTTACCTGAAATAGTAAACAAGCTTGATTTTTCTTACCCTGGGTACGAAGCATGGTTAACATAATAAGAAACAGCTACGGTTTGTTGGTTGGCAATTCCAGTGTCGGTTTGCAACAAGATACCAGCGGTTACTCTGAATTGATTGGCGGCACGTTGTGTGCAGTGAGCAGCCGAAAGGACCCATCTAGAATATATACGATTAATTTTTAGAAGCATTAAAAGTGTAATAAATCTGTTACAATAAGAGAATATAAGACAGTGAAATTTGTTTGTCCTTTTGCTAGACAAATAAATAATAACTTCTGTGAGGTCTGTCGAAATTGTTTATTCTTTCACTATACATGCCCTACGATCGAAAAAAAAAACTCAGAATTGGTCCAAACCAAACCAAAAATTACAATCAGTTTAATCTATTTCACCTGAATATTAAAAATTTCTGAATTAATTCAAGCTATGTATAAATGTAATTCAAAGGAGGAAAAAAGAAACTGTGATTAATGAAAGAAAATACGATGAAAAGACAACAAAGATGAGCTTGTACAAAGATTGCTTGCTCAATCTATCCAACAATTGGCTACAACTTTCTTAAATATAACATTCCATCGTTAGACCAGAATAGTAGAACTGGTATAAGACTATTCAGTATAAATATTCTTATGAGCTACGTAAACCAGTCATAGTATAAATGACAAATAATCATAATAATGATAAATCAGAGAATATAACTCAAATATATAGTACCAAAATTCAATAGCTAATAGGCACAATAAAGAACTTAGGCCACAATTTCGATGTTGAGAATAAAATGTTTAGAAAAAAAAATATTTTTTTTTAAAAAATGTTTTTAAATAAATTATTTTTAAAAACATATAAATACTTTAATAGTTTCAAATTTGATCAAAAAAATTGTTTCAAAAATGATCATAATTGCGTTAGTGAAATCAATTGGATAATAAATTTAATTAATGCATGTTAAAACATTTTCACGGTATATTTTTTGTCTCTTTTGTAATACCAAAGTAATACAAAATAATTCTAGTTAGAGGCCCATTAAAAAAATAACTCTTTCCATTTTAAGATTATTTGATTTTTTGAGTTATAATGAGTTATAACTCATCATACTACTCAGGGCTTTAACAATGAAAGATCATACAGAACAAGACAAGAATCATCATACAGTCTCAGGCAGTGGCGGCTCGTGACCTTTGTGACTGGGTAGGCGACAAAATTTTAGTTGCCGTCTATTTACCCCCCCCCCCCTAATTTACATAATATCCTAACCCAGTTTGTAAATATATGTTATCTCTGGGTTGTGAAACTATAAACATAGCTCAAGAATATTTAGGACAAAACTAAAGCAAAAATAACAGTATTCAACGTAATCACATAATGTACAAGTATATCTATGTTTTTTTATCTATTACTATGGAGTCATTATGTAGTACACCATAGAATTTTATTTTATTTATATTTATTTACGCAAACTTAAAAATTGGTAGTATTGAGAGAAAGAATAATTATGTTTTATACATTAAATTGATGAGTCGGTCTCTTAATAAAGAAAAGTTATTTATTATTATATCAGTAAATCATCAGATTGTTAAAGAGCTGTGAAAAGATCTTTTTAGATTGAAAGTAAGGCAAGTGACGATAAACGTTTATTTTTCATGAAATCTCTGCTATAAATTTTAATGCATTTCAAACATGAAAAATGTCTCTCAACCTAAGTACTTGTAAATGGTGTAGTAACAATAAAAAAAACAATTTGATAGCCTCTGGAAATATATTTCCATTATTATTCTCCTTAAATTATTATATAATCGAAATTTTCATATCTATTATTAATACCTGCAATTTATTCATTAATTTACGTTGGTCAATAAGATTTTTTGTTTGTTAAATCACTATTAAATGCTTTGGAAATTATCAATATAACAAGTTTGTTAAATCAAATAATTTTGAATAATCTCGGATAAGCCCGAAAAATGTTTCCAATTTGCTTTAAACGTTTTTTGAATTTTCATATAAAAGTTTTAAATGCTACGTATAATGAATCATATGAAATATCCCCTTAATGAAATGTGACATATCCGTGATATATCCCCTTATGAAATATCGGAAATATCCCCTTAACTTCTAAGCCTACCGAGCCTCAACGACTTCATGCGAAGGCGACCGGAGATTTCGCCTAAGCCCCGCCTTAATACTATACAACTCCGACTTACATCGCGTCGCTACCGCACGATGAGTTAGACAGTGACAGAAGACTGCCGTACGTCGTGCATCAACCCTGATAGTAAGCGATGCAGAAATCGCCGAACAAAGGCACCCCAACGGTCAAAATTATTTTGTTTCCTAACGCAGTGGCACAGTCAGCGTATGCCAGCGATAGTGAATATTTTAAAATACAAGACCATAAATATTAAAATAATATTGATTATTAAAACACGCTTCCTTGTATTAACAGTATTTTTATGTATTGGCAACATTAATAGTAAATAATGTAATGTAATAAACCGCTTAAATTCTGCCAAAATTTTAGGGTAGGCGCCGCCTACCTTGCCTACCCTGACCAGCCGCCACTGGTCTCAGGGCTTTAACAAAAGCCAGGATCTGAGACGACTCCGCGGAGGCCAGCTCTCCATCTCCGAGATCAGCCATACTAAAACTTATGGCACGAACGGTTTTCGTTTTTGACGCACTCAGTGATGAGATGTTCTGATGTTTCCCTATTTTCCCCACAGAATCTGCATTCCCCGTTGTTTCTCAGTTTCAATGTACTGAAGTGTTCGTTTAGAAGACAGTATCCTGTTAAAAAACCCGTGACAATCCGAACATTGTTCTTACTTAAATCAAGGAAAATATATTTTTTTCGAGATGGACTTCTAGAAGCATTTTTGGAGGATAGTGTAAGTACTGAGGGAAAAAATAGACTTTTTTTGCTGTCGATACTACACTTCTTACAAAAGACGTCTAAGAAATGTCCCAAATTATCGTCGATGGACAAAAATAAAGATTTCTATTTCGTCTAAATAGCCAAAAGACAATATTAAATGAAAAAACCGGAATAGATCACATCAATGGAGTCAGCGACGTCTAACATACACTATGTACAAATTGTAGCGAAATTATTTATATAGGATCTCAGTGAATATCAATAGTTCATCTGCTGATATTATTAAAATAATAAAAAATCGTCAGTGTGTAAAATCCTCAAAACTTTTGTGTTTTTAATTGCACATTTTGGAGCAGCATGAACTTTGAGCATACTATATGAAGAGTTCAAAATATCCAATCTGTAGCATCCCCTGGACTGCGTATAGAAATCAATACTAAAAGAATTATATATTAACAAAAATTGTCCATCATGGTAACACAACGAAAACTTAAGTTCTTTGAAAACCTGAGTAGTAATAGTAGATGTTTAAGAGGAGGGTTAATCACCGCGACCTTACCTTAAATCTATTGTGTGTTTCCCTTTCTTGAGTTATAACGAGTTATAACTCGTCATACAGTCTCAGGACTTTGACAAAAGCCAGTATCTGAGACGGCTTCACAGAGGCCAGCTTTCTATCTTCGACATCAGCCATACCAAAGTTTATGGCACGAACGGTTGTCGTCTCGGCGCACTGAATAACAAGGTGTTCTGGTGTTTCCCCATTTTCCCTACAGAATCTGAATTTGCCATTGTTTCTCAGCTTCAATCTACTGAGGTATTCGTTGAGGTGTTGGTTGAGACTCGAAGATTGTTTTACTTAAATCAACAAAAATCTTTGTTTTCTTCTCGATCGTAAGTTCTGAGAAACTTTTTCGATTGTTTTAGATCATTGGAGGATTCCCATTCCAGGTTACGGGTGGAGTCTTTTGGGTTCTTGAAAGGGTTCTTGTTGGTTTGGGTTGTTTCGCTTTAAGTTAGTTTCCGCTTGGAAAGCAGAACGGTTCTGGTAGTGGAGTGTTCGCTACTTTTCTAGCTAGATCGTTTGCTTTTTCATTGCCCATCTTGGACTTTATTTTCTTTGCCTAATTTGTTCAGCTTCTCTAGGCATTCTTTGACCAACTTCGGATTTGTGGTTACTGAGTTGATCGCGCTTAGTGCTGCTTGACTATCGGATAAGATGGCAATTTCCTGTTTTCCATAATTCCTATCTAAGAGAAATTGTACACATCTTTCGACAGCGTAGATTTCTGCCTGGACAATGCTAAGGCAGCTGACCATTGGATTGGAGTATTTAGTTTTCGGCTCAAATACTCCTATCTCTGTCCCTGCTTTGGTTTTGGAAGCATCAGTATACCACGTTATGGTATGGTATTTTACATGCTGACCGAACGTTTCTCTTTCAATCCTTTTTATTGCTCAATACTACAGGGAACGTGAGTAAGAAGAAGATAATTTAGATGCTCGTTGTAACAGCAGCAAGATGGCTAGACTAAGAGGACGTTCTCAAAAACTTCAACATGACCAGGTGAAACAATTTACAAAAACATCGCTGCCGAAAAATATTAAATGTGTTGTAAATATAAGCAACTAGAAAGACATTTTCATGACACTTTTTTTCAAGACTACAGATACGATACTTTTATATTTTTGGTTCAAGTAGGAAGACGTATATTTATCCACATCTAGTAGACAACTCTTCAAAAATACATCAGCAATTAAACATTTTGTATTACCTTTGACTGAGAATGGATCCTCCACAAATGTGGAAAAGGCTAGTTCCAGAAACAACACGTAGGGAAATTTGGTAAGGGAATTGGTTTCTGACGGCGTTCGAACCAGCAACTATTTTCAAGTCGGAACTGTTTGAGTACTCCCTGGGTATCGTTGGGTATAACTCTGGCTGGATGTAACCATCAGCTAAAAAAAGAAGGCCGATATAGTGTACGAAATAAAATAAATATTTTTATGTATGATTTTCTTTTGTAATAGTAATATGATATCCAAATATACAAGGAGAATGTTAAATAAGTGCAAATATTTTCGGGGTGGTCTATGTCGACCCCAGAAAAACGTCTATGAAGTTTTTTTCTAAAAAAATGTTGAAAATCGTGCATTTTCTGTTAAATTTTCCTGTATATTTTAGAACTGCCTGAACACCGCAAATTTTCCCACGGTATAATTTCTTAATCTCTGTTACCATGGTTACGATACTAAAAGGGATGCATATACAGAAAAAAAAACGGTGGCTCTCAATTATTTTTTGAATAAATTCATATTTTTTAAATTTTCAAATTTGAATAACTCGGTTATTTTTTACTTAACGGCAAAGAGAAAATATATTTCGGAGATACATGGTCTAGTTTTTTTTTCAAATAGTTTCTCAACTAACGTGAATATTTGTATGAAAATTGGTGTCTGGGTATTTTTTAACATGAGAAATTTTATTACATGTTTTTGACTGTTTTGAAGAATAATAACTTTTTTTTGTTTGTACCTGTATAAAACTACTGAGTGAAATAGTTTTTAATACATTTCCGTCATTTTTTACGTAAAATGGATTTCTTGGTAAAAATGGTGGTAAGCAATTCTCAAGATATTTGGAATGGAAAATCTCAATACATGTCATTGTTATTGACAAAAAACAAACATTACGTCAGTGAAACGTGATAACCTGCTAACTCCATTTTTTACGTTAATAAGTTTTTTTATACCATTAGAAAGAGTATTGTATTTTATACCATTAGAAAGAGTATACCATTAGAAAGAGTATAATTTCTCACCCTGTATAGAAATCAGGGAACTACCCTAATGCAAGGTAAACCAATGCAATGCAAATTCCATAATGCAAAGCGAAAGCAAATATTGTTAAGAATAATAATTATTCTTAATTCTCATTAATTATTAATGAATATAAAGGGTCCCCCTAATAGTTATCTATATAATATGGCCAGTTCGACCCTGCGTCGATCTGTTCTGTAATACGGGGTATCCGTAAAGGGTACGGGGAAAAACGAAATTCTCTATATACAAGCAATTCATCGGCGTGCTATAAATAGTTTAAATAACATTACTTACGTGTACAAGAATTTCCATAATACCTAATCAGTTTTATTTTTTTCAACGTATTTTCACGTAAATGATACATAATTTTTATAAAAATTAAAAAAATAAGGAGCAAAGTAATAAAAATTTAATAAAATCACGCACTGTCTTCCAAGCTCGGTCTACTACCGTTGTATAAAAATTAAGATAAGCATGGAAGGATTCTACCATATCTTCTAAGAATTATAAGTTTAATTTTTAAATTATTTTCATATTCATTAAGTCCAAAATTCTGCTACTTCAGTTCTTTAAAAATGCAAAAAATTTTAAAATTTTCATTAAAAATTTATTCGTTTTTGGACTTGTATGTTTTGTTTCTAGACCGATGATATTATAAATATATGGTTATGAATATCATATTTTTTAAATTTAATTGATTATTTATAAATCTGTTCGGGTAATATTCATTTCCACTTTCAAAATTTCAAACAATAAAGGTTGCTATCTCCAGAAGTATATTTTTATTTCTTATTTCTGCAAGACGAATATCTGCTATCTCCCTATTGTGTCGGAAAAAAATGACGTAACACGAAATATTGAGTTTTATTGTTCCCCAGCCAATCAAATTCTTATCTCTTTATAATATTAACGCATCAAAATACTTCCCACATGTGTACATATTTTTTGTACCGTTTTTTTGCTCTCCTGTAAAATTAGGAATAATGGAGTTAGCAGTTTATCACGTTTCACCGACGATTAGTTATTTGACTGCTTCGATTACGTGGGAAAACATTTCCTTATATTTTTTATTTTTATTTACAATCAACAATAAATTTTCTTTCTTTTGTAATTTTCTACTTTTCCGCCATTTGTTTATACAAAAGTCTTTGTTTATTATACCGAAAATTCCACGATTTCGCTAAATAATACAGCGCAATATTATCCATAGACCGTTCAATAAAAAAATATGGTTCAATAAAATTTAAATTCGTTCAGTCTTTAGTACTAAACCGAGATAGTCAATAATATTATGCAATTTGTAATATTGTTCAATAGTATTAGCCGTCTAGAGAAACTTCTATAGCGTTTTTCTTATCAACACGAAAAGAAAATTTGTATATATGATCATTTTTTTTTTAATTAGCTTATTGTATGACAAGATTATTTCATTTATAAAAAGAATAAGAGTAAATATATCTTACCCAAAGCTGCTACTACAACAGCTGCCAGTACTAGAAGAACCTTCATATTTGCTAACGCTAATGTTAGTGTACTTTATCCATTGAGGAGATGCGTTTTTATATAAATAAACCTATCGTCTTATCAATTAATGGTCGTTAAAAAGAATATTAGATTTAACCCCCACTCAGCCTATGAATGCGTCGCCTATATACACTGTAAAAAATCATAAATTGGCTAATAAAGGTGTATTTAATGAATTTTTGTTATATAGAAATAAATCATAATTATTTACTTTGTATAAATTAATGCTTATTTTTAGAAATGTATTTCTTTTATGACCAGATGTAATAAAAATATATCTCTAATTAAAGCATATTTTAATAGCCCCCCATACACCAGAAGATTTGGCCTGCCGATTTGGCCTGCGGGCTGAATCTGCGGATAAAAACTGTATGTTTTTATGTAATAAAAATATACCTACATTTGGGCCGCAACAGACTTGAACTGCCACAAACTTGGTCGGCCACAAAAACACAAAGTTATTTATTGGAATAAAATATTAACAGTTGAGGATTGGAATCTTTGGTGTACATCGCAGCGCACACACAACAGCAAAATAAAACACTAATTTAGCACAATACACCAAAACACTTATCTAATAATTAGGTAATTAGATATATTTTATTCCAATATACGACTCAATATTTACTTGATTTAAATTTTCTTGAAACAAACTACATTAGAATATATTGGACTCCATTTTTGTCTAAATCATATATTTTGTTTTTTCAGTGTAAATAAAAAAATCGAAAAATCGAATCGACTTTTTCTTTCGAAACTGATAACTTTTAATTCATTATATCAAATTTTAAATAATATTATTATTGGTAGGTAATTTTGCTGCTATTATTAGAAGCAAAATGTAACTTACATTATCTGATCTAAAAATACGTATATCATACTCTTTTAAATTAAATTTTTTTAGCTGACAAATCTTATAGTTTTTTAGTTATATATAGTGTGTTTGGAATATAATAGTATCTTGATAATAGAGTAATATATCTATTAAAGTTATATATAGTGAAAAATATTATAGAAGTGCTTATCATAGGAGAATAGGATTATAAATACTAGGTAGGAAATGCAATCCCGCAAATGCTGGATCCCGCAAATGCGGGATCCCTCTGTGATTCCGCGGGATCAAATTTGCGGGATTTACCGTGCGGGATCTGCGGGATCGACACCAGGGGCTTACTCTTCCGGATTGGCCATTTAAAATAAGTGAAACAAACAGGTTAGTTATTAGATTTCTTTCTGTGCGTAAGTGAAGAAAAGCGTTTAATTAGTACTTGTGGACAATTTCGTCAAATAAACTGCCGGACATAATTATCGGAACAAGCAAATTTTTAGGGTAAATTTAAAGTATCTCTAAATATCTCTTGAACTAAAAAAAATTTTGGGATGCGGTTTGGACCAGGTTTTAGATGCTATCTATGGTGATTAAGATACTATGTGATTTTCGAAAATATATTTAGCGAATTCTCGTATACAGGGTGTTTTATAAGAGTGTGAAAATTTGGTGAAGTATCTTTTTTACCGCAAATTTACAGAGTGTATCTAAAAGCAGATAACTAACACAAATTGAAAAGAAAACCTTCAACATCAGAATAATATTCTTATTTACAAAATAAGTAGATAAATTATAATAAAATTTAAGTTCATTTAATATTAAATATATTTTTTGAACACACTGTATACATCGGTCCAAATTTTTGTTCAGCTAGTTTAAGATACACACTATATCAGTATATTGTGGGCCTATGCAAAATGTACAATGCCTTTTGTACCATTTAGGACCAAATGTATGACTATAAATGCATATTTTTCGAAAAAACTCGTATTTTCCTTAAAACGAAAAATTAAAAAAAAACACCAAATTGTTTTTTCTAATTTCAATACAGATTAGTAGTACATAGTTAAAATTTCGATTTTTCAAAAATTATAAATTTTCGGTAGAAAAAATTCTTGACCAAATTTGTACACTATTATAAAATACTCTGTATACGAGAATTCGCTAAATATATTTTCGAAAACCACATAGCATCTTAATCATAATACATGCGTCTAAAACCTGGTCCAAACCGCATCCCAAAATCGGAGAGAGAAAAGAAGAGCATTTATTGTTTACAATCCCGCAATTTTGCGGATCCGCGGGATTGATTGCTTTAATCCCGCGGGTTTGCGGGATTGAGATTTTGGTGCGGAATTGCATTTCCTAATACTAGGTAGAAATTATATTGTTAGAGTAAAATAAAATAAGGTTTATTACACTATACATATATATTAAAGAAAATCTTAAAAATTGTTCTAAGCTTTAATAAGTTTCTAACAATAATAAATTGTAAGTTATACTGTCTCTTAATTTCTTAAATATTTCAATATTATTGTAAAGGGCATTAATACATATTTTCAATACATTCCATTTACAAATGTTCTAATTGTAGCATAATTAGAAAACACAATAGTCCTTAGTTGTTAGTATTCGTATTCTCAATCATATTTGTGAAAATTTTGCGATTATTTATATCAACATTAACCAAATTAAATAAAAAAATTAATCGCAAATTAATTTTACTAACCTGTAAAATAGACAAAGCATATATGTAACTATTACAATAAACCAAAAAAAAAAGCTGGAATTCCATTGAAACAATGTAGAGTTTGCTGTGTAAAAATAAAAATATTTTTTTTATAAAGTACCAGTTCAAAAATCCACGGCCACAAAAATTTCAGTACTTAGTTCTTTGAAATAAAATGGACCCAACCAAAAAAAAACACTTAACATTCCAAAATACATTATCATGCGTGTGTTAAATGAAATTTTGCTCAGTTTTGCTATATTTATTAGGCAGCCTTTATACAGGGTGTCCCAGAAATAAGTGCAAGTATTTTAAGGGGTGGTGGATCTCGATAAAAGAAACATATTTTCTCTTTATCGTTTTTCAAAAAAGTCCAAAATAACGGAGTTATTTTACTTTGGAAATTTCCAAAAAAAAATATTTTTTTCTAAAATTTGAGAACCACTGGATCTTTTCTGGATTTTCTTTCTTGTAAATTTAATGTAATACCTATGTTGCCATATTATCAGGAAATTATGTTTTTTTAACTAAAAAAAAATTCAAAAAATTTTGATTTTTCAAATTTTTTTTTCGCGAAAGGAACCTTATAGGCGTATTTTTGGGGTTGAACTATACTACCAGTTAAAATATTTGCACTTATTTCTGGGATACCCTGTATACATCGGGGTTTCTTTTTGCTTCGCCGATGGTCCACTGTTTTTCTTACGGGTTTATGAGTTGTATATTATTGTTTTATTAAAAATAAATTTCTGATACTTTTTTCAACGAAATCTTAATCGTCAATCAAATAAAATTATATTTTACATGATTTTTAACTTATTATTTATTACCTTAATATAGTCCCAACTCGGTATTAATTTTAGTTATTAACATGAATATAAAAATAGTCAAATATCCAAAACCACTCTCTATAGATATATCATACATAATCTTAATCATCATGGTAACTTTTGAATGATAAATTTTACAATTACTCTATTGCAGTTTTAAATCGTTTATTTTATTATTACAGGTAACATTAAAAAATAATAAATTAAACCAACACCACAATTATTTTATAGTATATTTTGCTGTTGATATATTTTAAACTGTGGAAATGTATATTTAACTTTTATTTTTTATTCGTAAATTCTTATTACTTATCTAAAATAAAGTAGAATAAAAAAATTAAAGAAAAGAGTATCAGACACCCAAAAGTTATGAAAAAACATATTTCAAAATAATATCTTTAGATTAGAGGTTCTAAATATCATAAAATTAACACAACTCGTCATTATTCACTGCATACCCGTAGTAACAAGAATCGAAAAAAAATCAAAAGCGCAAATGCATAACATCGAATTCAGAAATTGAATTTGAGAATTCAGAAAAAAATGTACAAGATTATTTTCTTCTTAATTTACTCTTGTAAAATTTTTATATCGCGGGTGATCTGGCAAATGCTCGTATCTGCCATTTTTTCAAAATTGAGATTATTTTATCATAACGTTCTATGAGTTATTATGCACGTATTGACAAAAGGTTATATCTGAAAATAAAAAAATTACGGCACCATTTAAAGAAAAGAAAACCTCCTATCTAAAACCAGCTGTTATTTTGGTCACATAAACTCCTATCTACTTATTTTGATTAAAAAGCAAAAGCTCCTATCTATAATCGGGTGATATTAAGAAGCAATTTCTCCTATCTTCATAACTTTGCGTTAAAAACCAGCGAGTCGTGACACGCTTCTTGTGCTTGTTGGAATTTTTAGTTATATTTTAAATTAAAATTAAGGTGACTTCTACAGTTTTTTCAGGTTTGTTTAAATGTGTTTATAAAAAGTGTGAAAATCATGAGTTCTCGATCTAAAAGACTAGTTAGCATAGCTAAAGCAATGTTTACATCTGAAGTAAATAATGAAATACCAGGAGCCCTAGACAGAAATTTAGATTTATCTGGATCAGATAATGTACATGGTATGTAATTTCTAATAATTTCTACACTAATGTTAACTCAATAAGTTACATCTTTTAAATAATAATATAGATAACGCCGTTGCACTAAAAAATGCAACGGGAATTGAAACAGAGTGCCAAATTAAACAACGAATAAGCCCTAAAACAAAATCTCAAAATAGAATTGAGGAATCTATTGTTACTGGTTTTCCGGAACTGGATGATTTTCTGATTATTTTAGCAGAAAATTTGGTTTATCAAGAGACAACGACAGGTAAGTTTTGACTACCTTTGGTTAAGTCACGCCTCGTACGCTTGCGTAAGCACAAACTGGAGCAAACACCCAGTACCTTTAGGCTTAAGTCTATTTTACGCGAAATATCGTTTAAATGCAAGGCACTATACGCCGTTTTTTCGTGCGAGGATTAATTTATGGTTCTTTAAGTAATTTGTAAATAATATTGTTTCAGGCGTTGAACAAAATATCATCGTTGCACAAAACGTGATTATAAAAGATCAAACTTTGGAAGTTTTACCAGAAGACGGAAGCACTTATTTCTATAATACAGACGGTAAGTTCCTATTTTTATCTCTATTCCCATGCCCAATTGTTTGTTAAAATCAATTTGGCATACAAAAACCTACAATTTTTTACTGTTTTCGCTTTATTAGGCACTTCATTTTCAACCTTAGAACATGATGGGAATCTGGTAGGCTCTGAGAAACAAGATTCTTTATTTCATCAAGACGAAAGCACCTATTTCTGAACTAAAGCAGAAAATTGCGGTAATTTTCTACCAATTCTTAATCCCATGCACATTTCATTGTTTAATTAACTTAACACCAGAAATAAATGTGTACATTTTGGCACAGTTTTTACACGCTTTATTTTTTAGGTACTATGAATATGACCTTAGTACACGAAGAGAACTCGATGGAATTAACACAAAAAGCTTATCCCGCGTCGAATCAAGAATTAGAAAATGACTCAGGAAGTGATTATGAGCCTAGTAATGAAGAAATATCGTCAGAAAGTTCAAAAAGTGAGCATGAAAATATAGCAGAAGAAACCGTCGCTAGTGCAGAATTAAATAAAGTAGACATAGATTTGAATGAAGAAAGGAAAAGACGAATCAAGGCAAATGAAATGGAGTGGTCAAGAAATAAGAATAAAAGGCTACGTATCCAAGGAGAACAATACCTTGGTATAAAAAAGGATGAAACTGGAAAAAGGCAACAGAATATAGTTAAAACAGGGTGAAAATTGAAACCACGTTGTTCATCAAAGGCTTGTGAAAAAGCAGTGAATCGACATTGTTCTGAGTTTACAGAATATAGAAGAAAAAACATCTTTGATAAATTTTGGAAAACTATGAATTCGGATCAAAGGCGGGTATTCGTGGCTTCGAATATAGAAAAGAATATCACAAAACGTAAGACAACAAATCGACCATGCATAAGACAAGGTAGCTACAAGTATACATTGGATAATCTACAAGTTTGCCGACAAATGTTTCTGAATACATTATGTCTTGGTTACAAAACCGTTCATGCATGGGTCGATCAGAGTTTCTGTGGTATGCATGCAGAAAAGAAAAACAGAGTCGACGTAAAACAAAAAGTTAAGGAACAACATAAACAGCAATATGAGATCCTAGAACAATTTTTTGAACAACTGCCAAAACTACCGGCACACTACTGTAGAAGAGATTCTTTAAAACTCTACTTAGAACCCCATTTTCAGTCTATAAGTGACGTTTACAAACTGTATTTGACTTATACTTAAGAAACAGGGGTTCCACATTTAGCTAGGAAATCCTTTAGTAAAGTTTTCCACACTAAAAACTTTTCAGTCTATACCCCTAAAAAAGATCAATGTAACACATGTGTCTCTTTTAAATGTGGAAATGTTTCAGAAGAAATGTACGCGCAACACCAAAAGCGGAAGCAAGAAGCCCGAGAAGAAAAATCCAAAGATAAGGTTTTGGCCGAAGAAAATAATACCGTAACTATAACAATGGACGTACAAGCAGTTAGGTTGTCCCCATATCTCAATGCCGGAAAATTTATTTTAAAACTAAATTGTGTTGCCATAATTTTACAATTTTCAATTTAGCAATCAAGGATGTTATCTGTTATTGGTGGTCCGAAGATCAAAATAACCAACTTGTTGCATCGACTTTTACGTCATGTATTCTGGATTATCTTCAAAGTTGTTTAACTGATGAAAAAAAAACCAATAATAATCTGGTCAGATGGTTGCCCGAGTCAGAATAGAAATACTGTTCTTTCAAACGCCCTGTTGAATTTTGCCATGATAAACCAAGTAGAAGTATTTCAGAAGTATCTTGAACCGGGTTATACTCAGATGGAGTGTGACTCGGTTCATAGCACTATCGAAAGGAAACTAAGAAATCGTGAAATACACTTGCCTAGTGATTATGTCAGCGTGACCAAAGAGGCTAGGGTAACACCTTTTCCATACAGGGTGAAACTTCTAGAGTTTGATTTTTTTTTAAACTATTCATTGGCCAAAGATTTACGGTATCAGACCATCAGACCCGGAAAAATGGCAAAAGACCCCGTAATTAACGACATTCGGGTTATAAGATACTCACCTAATGGGTAAATCCAAGTGAAGCTTAATTTTCACAATGAATACATAGATTTACCGAATCGTCCAAAAAAGTTAAATCCAATTTTCGATTACCCATCGCTTTTTCTTGCACCATGTAAGATAAAAAATGAGAAGTGGAAACATCTTCAAGAACTAAAATCCGTTATTCCTAAAGATACACACTACTTTTATGATAATCTTTTGCATTAAGTTGAGAAGTGTTTGACAATTTTTGTGGTTTTATATTTTTTGTAATGTTTTTTGCTAATAAAGCTATGAAAGCAAATTATCCTATCTTACTTTAAAGTCAAGCAAAATAAGCAAACGTCCTATCCTTTTTAATTCTAAAATACAAATAATCCTATGTGCTATTTTAACAAAAGCAAAAAATCCTATCTGATTTAATAAACAAGTTTACAGTTTAATTGCTTCCAAATAAATAGTATTTAATAGAAAACATACATTATAATGTATTTTCAATAGCCCAGCCTTCTAAGTCGTCCCGTTTTTTGAAAATACCGTTTTTATTGCCTCCTGTAAAATTATTGTTTCAGTAGATAGGAACATTTACCAGATCACCCGCGATATGATACAGTTCCTTTATAAGAAATACATATTTCATTCACATTTATATATATATATATGTTGGAGACAGATACCGAATTAGGCCCGTGGCCGAAATAATTAGACACTTCGCGATCTGTCCATACTAGACACAAGACATCCCAGATGCCGAAATAATGATACATATAGGCTACAACCAATGAATTAACACCCCCAAATAATCACGCTAACCAACTCGCCAAATAACTAAACCAATCCAACCAAAAGGAGTGGCTAAATTGGGTTGGTCAGATGCCGAATCGCTCACTGTTTCGGCATCTAGCAAGTTTAGTATGGACAAATCGTCATATGTCTAATTATTTCGGACATAGGCCGAATTCGGCATCTGCCTCCAACATATATAACAAAAATTAAGTTGAAAGAAAATTTTTGGAGATAGCGGTCTGAAGACAAAAAATTAAATAATTTTTTTACACACGCCAAGCTTTCGAAAATTTTATTTCCTATTTTAAGGGTGTAAATAGTTTAATTTGAAAAATAGACAAATATATCACATTCCATATCGAAGAAAGATCGGTCAAGACTTCCTCTTTTATATATTTATATACTTAACGCCTATCACCTTCCCCTAGGAGATGCAAGACCTTGTCGTTGGTGGGGAAACTCTTAGTCAGATGGAAATCTTCTCTAACGCTTTGGCTGAATCTAAGAAGCATCTAACTGTCTGGTCCCTGACTGTACTCGTAGTATCATAGCCAGATAATTGCACCAAGACATAAAACGATGCCGGACGGGGGCTACCCTGTCCACCGTACCAGACACCCCCTACTGTTTGTCATGTCTCACGGGTAGAGGGTGCTACCGTAGGAGACAACCTCACCAAAAAACCTAAATAATTCTATGGTAAGACCAGGTTAAAGAGTGACGTGGCTAGACAGAAGACTAGCCTTTATTGGTCTCAACCTTAGGGTACGAGGGGGCACCCCATTGTATTTATACCTTACTTCTACATGCGGAACTTTGTGAAGTGGACTGACTATCCCTAGCAACTCGTGGGCACACTATGAGATCTAGTATTAAAAACACCATAGGTGAAGCTGTGGGGAGACCCCCTAGCGACACTGGGAACATTAACAATGAAAGTTCCAACCAAACTCAAAGGGAACTATAGGAGAGGCGGATGGTCTACATCCTCCACAAGTGGCACACAAGCTACCACCTTCTCCAGCAAGAATCTGGAGCCTACCTCTAGACCCAGCAATCGACACAAGCTACCGTTTCGTCTATCCGGCCTAGATTAACCAGGCGGGCTAGACGATCCGCTGAGTCTTAGCGGAGCAGAAGCACGGAGAACCCTCCGATTGCTCCACGAAGGACAGTAAGTCGGACAGTAAAGACAGTAATCGGAGATACCCGTTGGGGGAAGAGCATTTGTTGTCAGAGGAGAATGGGAAATACCCTGTTCCCCCTACAACAGGAAAATGTATGATGGATTATAGACTGTATGTTATAACTAAAGAAGGGGGGCACAACAGATCTTTAAGGTTCCAGTGATTAACCCTCCCCTTCTACTCATTCTACGTTCTACAACACCTATCACCCTTTAACATAACCAACTTAGTTATTTTATTTTATTCTGTGTTATTTTTATTTTATTATCTTTTGTTGTGTAAAAATGGATGGTAAAGAAAGAAAATCAAGTGCAAAAGCACTTGGGTGATGCAAACTGCAATACCACCAATCAAAATCAATCAATTTTTATTTAAATTTGAAATATAATTTGATATCTAAACGTTTTCTATTAATCTTGTTTTCTATTAATAGATTACATAGAAATAATCTTTACCTTTTATATGTTTACCTTTGAAATCAAACCGCTTACGTTTTTTTACAAAAGGGATGTTTGTACTTGAAAACTCAAGAACCCAGCGAGTATTTAAAACTTTAATTTTACACATGGTCTGTAAGTACTTTGGTCGTCTGTAGATATTACGATGACATTATATTAACAAGGTTTAATTAAATCGACAATATACTTTTCGTAGAAAAATTGTAATTGATTGAGTTCTTATCGATCAAGCAGTGAAATCAATTTTCGTAGATTCGATTCAAGCTAAAACTGCGTATTAAATTTATTATGATTTAACAATTTTATTCATTAAAATTTAAACCGTGAGATTTTTTAACATATATATCCGATCTAATCTGATTGATATATAGTAAATAGGATTGTCTTTACAAGAGGAAAAAACTCTTTTATTATTGACATTTTGAGTAAAATGCATTCTTCATAAGATGTTTTGCTTGTTCTAAAATGGTTAATGCCGTTTATACTTTTCCAAATTTCCATACGGTTTTAGAGAAAATTAAAAAAACATGAAAATATGGTTGAATTTTTTCAAGTTCTAAAAATCAAAAGGCGTTTCTATGGTAATATAATTTCGGATTTATTCTTTGATAGATGGTTATTATTAATTTTGATTACAGTTATATTTTTTGCTGTTGTTAAGGTATAACATTTTTCGATAATAATTATTATCACCCTTTCCATAGCATTGAACTAAAAAAAATGTTGTGCCTCTTTAACATATTCAAATAGCAAAAAAGACTTTATTTAAAATTCTATCAATAACAATCAATCAAAGAATAAAAACAAAACCATATAACCATATACAGAGTGCTACAAATTCGAGGTACGAGCATTGGTAACTCGGTAACCGTAATAGATACGAACATGGTTAAATTGGGGTAAAGTTGCGCTTTGGGATGTTCACCAAGATGCCATCAAAAAAGGTTTAAAAATTTCAAGGATTGCCGAGTTTTTTTGGAAAAACGGATATTTTTAAAAATCAATTTTATTTTTTCTTGTCGTTACTTTTCAGAAAATCAAATTTTTAAATCAGCTGGATAATTTGTGAGATACAGAGGCCAACTTAATTTTTTTATATACCGACCTGCATTTTTTATTTCAGATTTTGAAAGAACTTGCTCTCCTGAGTACAATGATATGCCACACATAATATTTTTTTATTAAGTTATAGTTTTGGAAATTTGGACACAATTTATTTAAACTAATTTCAAGTCCGGCTCTGTTTTTTAATATTTAATATATTCCTCGTTACAATATTGATAAGCTTTCAAACTTAACAGTGACGTGGGGTTGAA